GTTCCGTACGACCAAAAACCTTCCATTCTCTCTTTTTTCCCTTAGTTTCCATATGCTTAGAATAAAAGGGATATCATCTCTTCTTGATTGATTGATTCATTTGTTGATCATCAAAAAGAAGGAGAACAACGGAGGAGAGGAGAGGAAGATGTGTTTTCTTTACTCATCGGTACCAATTCAGAAATTACTATTGCCATGGACTCGACTTCCACGCCGACGCCGACGACAATAACCGCATCCGAAGTTTTTAACTGTGAGAAAAGGGCCATGAATGGCACGTTGAACATGAAAAAGAGATGAGCAGCAAGTAAGAAAGTATAACACTTGTATATTGATTGTGTAAAAGAACTGTGTATGGAATACAAACTTCTGCTGTTTATATACAACTTCTAATGTCTAATATAAGCCTAACAAACTTTACAACTGATACTAACAACCCTAACTGCCACTAACAACTTCAAGAAGCTCCTAACTACTTTACTAACAACACCATGCAAACTAAGCATTCATACACAGTGCATACGCAGTACAGACACCATTGTTGCTGACTCAACATGCTAACATTCCCTCTACTACTTCTTCTTCTTCTTTTCTGAACTTGAACATCCATGAAATCCAATCTTCTCTCGAAAGTGCGCTTCTTGATGAAAAGACAAACACTTGAAATGAAAATGCACTACATCCTTCCGTTCGACTTAAATCGGAAGTGCCGATGCTTTCTTCTGTTCGACTTGAATCGGAAGTGCCGATGCTTCCTTCCGTTCGACTTGAATCGGAAGTGCCGATGCCTCATTCCGTTCCTCTTGAATCGGAAGTGCCGATGCCTCCTTCCGTTCCTCTTGAATCGGAAGTGCCGATGCCTCCTTCCGTTCGACTTGAATCGGAAGTGCCGATGCCTCATTCCGTTCCTCTTGAATCGGAAGTGCCGATGCCTCTTTCCGTTCGACTTGAATCGGAAGTGCCGATGCCTCCTTCCGTTCGACTTGAATTGGAAGTGCCGATGCCTCCTTCCGTTCGACTTGAATTGGAAGTGTAGATGAAATCACAAACGTCTCAGCTATATAATTCAATACAAGTTCATGTTGATGACACCTCAATTTTGAAACCAAGGCATGAACCCACTGCAATATCCTTAGTCGTCCAATAAAGGAACATGCATGTAAACTGCTCATAATTGTCACCTCGTTGGGTGCAACCCCATCTTCTTGCATCCTAAAGAAAGCCAGAAGCGCTTCATGCATGGTTCCACGTAGCACAGAACCTGAAATAATAGAAGTCCAAGAAACAACATCTCGGGAGCTTAATCTTTCAAGAAGCCGAGAAATGGTATTCCATATGGCTAATGACGATGTGAGACCCGTCAAATGGGGTAAGACGTCCATGCTCACAGTGGTTAAAATCCAAGAAGCTAACAGTTTGTCCTGTTGCCGAAAGAGCACAAACGCTGAATTTTCAACACGTTGCCCATCAGTAACAAATTCTCCTGGAACATCAGCAGTGTTGGAGATATACCGAAGTAGACCATAAGCATCAATCACCAGAGTAACCTGGTGTTTCCATAAGAGATACGTATGCTCAGTGAGCTTAACAATGTCTTGTTTAGGAATCTGTTGAACACCAATGGAATCCAGACCAACCATTGCAACCAAACCAAGAAAAAACACCAAAAATGCTCCCAAGAAAAGAACCCCAAAAATAAAGAAACCAGAACGTAGGAGATATGGAAACAAGAAATCGTACAAACCAAGAAAACAACCAGCAAGAGCCAAGAAAACAACGAAGGAAACTTCGAAGCGATTGAAGAACCCGATCAAAGAACAAAATGGAAACAGCGGAAGAAAGATGACGTCAGGATCTTTGGCGAATGATACCATGTGAGAAAGGGGCCATGAATAGCACGTTGAATATGAAAAAGAGATGAGCAGCAAGTAAGAAAGTATAACACTTGTATATTGATTGTGTAAAAGAACTGTGTATGGAATACAAACTTCTGCTGTTTATATACAACTTCTAATGTCTAATATAAGCCTAACAAACTTCACAACTGATACTAACAACCCTAACTGCCACTAACAACTTCAAGAAGCTCCTAACTACTTTAATAACAACACCATGCAAGCTAAGCATTCATACGCAGTGCATACGCAGTACATGCACCATTGTTGTTGACTCAACATGCTAACATTAACGGCAAAGAGTTGGCTGTTGATCATTTCCTTGTTGAGACTCTTTAAAATCCTCATCATCGTCTCACCAGTAATTTTCTTATTTGATTTTACGTTTTTATTCTCAATTTTGTATCTTTAATGTTGTTTTTTCGTTGTTGTAATTTATGACTTATCTTATTCGTATTTCTGTCTCTTTATTAGATCTCATTTTGTTGCAGAATACGACTATCGGATAGAGCAAAATCGCAACTGATAATTTGAGAAAATAAAAATGAAGATAAAGAAGACACAAATTTTACGTGAAAACCCCTAAATAATATAGGGTAAAAACCATGGGCAAAGATAGAATAATTTCACTATGAGAAAATAGGAATTACAACTTCTCTCAATCTAACAAGGATAAAACAATAACAATTATCTCTTGATAAAAAAGAGAAAACAACTCTCGAGAAAACAACTCTTAAGAAAACTCTCTAAATTCTCTAGCATTGAGAGAAAACTATAATGATTTGGAATGATTTTAAAGCTAAATGGATTAGGGTATTTATAGATGAAGCTTAAGGATTAATCTTATAATTATACTAAAATTTAGGGATTAAAAGAGTAATTTTCCCATGCAAAAAATTCAATAAAATCTGCTCCTACCATTTTTTTTACAATGCACTTTCGGTGTATTAATAATTTTCAACACATTATACGTTGGATGTTGAATGTTTACTGTGATTTTAGGGTTCATCGTATGGATTTCATTTGGATTTGGTTTGGCTGGTGGCAATTAGGATAGAGCTTTATTAAATCTCTTTATTAATTTGAGAGCTTTAGGGTTTAATTCCTCATTTATATTCTACCACTGGTGTCTTCATTCTAGATTTATCGTCCTTTCTCTTTTTGGTTATTTTCCATGAGGTAGTCTTGCGGATGGAACTTGATATACAGAGGTTTTTGCAAAATTCTGAGCAGCAGCAGCAATTTGAGTTCCAACATTTTCCCACTTCATATCTTCGGCTTGCAGCACATCGTGTTGCTCAACACTATGGGCTGGTAACAATGGTTCTTGATAATGGCTTAGAAGGAAGCAGAATTGTGGCAAAGAGAGTAGGTGAAATCAGATGGCCTGCTGTTCGATTGTCTGAAATTCCTGCTAAAAACTCGGAAAATGATAAACCAGAGCAGATTAAAATTGCTATTAAGCACAGGCCAAGTAAAGGGTCTGTAAATGAAGCTAATCAAAAAGTTTCGTGAGAAGTGTGGAAGAGAGGAAGGAAGAGTATGATCGGGCACGAGCTCGTATTTTTAGTAGTCCTGGCACTCCGGATTCTGTTGATTCTTCATCTCAGGTTTCTATTGATGGGAAAAACGAGTCTCTAATCAGAGATGAGTTGGGAAATTACCGGAGCCCCATGGTTGATCTGGAGAAAAATACTATCAGTCGGGATGGTACTTTCCGAGTAGCCATTTTCAGAGATAGAGAGAAGGACCGCACTGACCCAGATTATGACCGTAGTTATCAAAGGTGGGATTAATACTATTTCAGGAATTTAGACATTCAGGTGGTTGATTGCTTTGCATCATTTAATGTTGTTTGTATGATCTCTTCAATTAAACCAAATGATTACAGTAACTTGTTTTCCCTTTTTCTCATGAAAATAGAATGTAGGTAGGCTGCAAATGTGAAATTATTAATGATAAAACTACATGCCACTTTAGGGAAGAAATAAGATTGATAATTGGTGGCATGAGATGGGGAGTATTTTTGGTTTTAATGGAGGGGTTTATTCTTAATTCTAAACTAGTTCTAAACTGATATAGGTATGTTAGAAGCATTCCATGTAACCAGAGTGTTAGCGTGGCTCCTTACAATATGCCGAAGGTTCAGCTTCCATTCATGCAGTATGATTCTTCTTTTCCTCACTTGGGTCAGATTGCAAGCACGCAAGCTCCCGGTTATGGTGTTCCTGCAAGGCCAGCTGTGAACCCTTTTTGTGATATGGGATTGAATCAAACTTCTAGAGATGGTCCGTATATGCAGTGGCCAAGCACTAACATGATGTATGCACATCCATATGATCAGTTTATGCATGCTGTATTTCAGGTAGGTGGTGATTTCTTATCATAAATAGTATTAGATTGTTTTTTTCTGGTGCTATGTGTTGCTCCTCTTCCACTTAGCCTGCACTTTGGCAGAAGTTCATGCGGATTTCTTTAGGCATTGCTGCATGTTCTTATGCCTTTTGTGGTTGCAGGCTCCATTTATTCACCAACCACCTCTGAGCCATGATTACTCGATGAATGGTTAAACGGTACGACGAGCTTGTATCATGCAGACAGTATGTTAGCGCTTAATATGGGTGCATTGCTAGGGTCATTGTTCAAGGACATGGTTAGACCATTAATTCCTTTTCTTTTAAAGTTTTGATGGATTATATTGTTAAGGACTGTAACAATGACGCTTCCCCTTCCTTCAGATGGTGTTTGAAAACTTTTATTTTCTTTCTTGAATAATGAACTTGATGAACATTAACTAGACCGAACTGCAGCACTTGCATGTACAAATACTAGACTGATTCCTTTATATTATACCAAAATGGCTGAATTCATTGATTCTGATAAGCTCATAGATGTCCTAAACTTCTTGCATGATAACATGTCACATTTACCAGACAAGGCAGAGACGAGTCTGTGGTTAAATAACTGGATTATGTCACATTTTTAATCTGGTAAATAATCTTTTATGTAAATGTATATTTTTATGAAGAAAATAATCAATTAATGATTTCGTTTTTTTAACCTAATATATCATTTTCAAGATTAAATATTAAAATGATACTTTTTTTGAATTATCTATTAAAATAACATTCTTTTGTCATATGGATGAAGATATTTCACGTTAGGAGTAATTGCGTATTATGACATGAAAGGGTTGAAAATTGTGTAGGAGAATCAGATTGCATATTAAAATAACATTCTTTTCTCACCTCTCTCAACTTCAAAAATTTTAAAACCCTAAAATCATAATGATAACTGCACCGACCGTCGCTGTCAATTAAGAGATAATATACTAATATACTTGAAAAAATGACCCATTTATTATCAAATACGTAATTAGAATGCTGTTATAAATGATTGGGATTAGTTAGTCAAGGAGGAAGAGGAGAAGCACAGAAGCTGCAACGACAAATTAAATATTCTTCACAAATCTCTATGGCTCTAATGCTGTAATATGTATGTAACTTCAATTGCTTTAAAAAACAAATTGTCTTTTTCAATTTAGTCATTAATATTATATTTTATTAAAAAAAATTATAGAGATTAGTTAGTCAAGGAGGAGGATTACAAATATTGGAGTCAGGCATTGACTTGGTGCTGTAAGTGAGAAAAAATTGATCGTTCGAGAGACGCAGAGAGAAAGGAACATGGCTGAGCTTCACCACATGATTCAAGAGCATCCACTTGTATTCAACGAAGACACCACCAATCTAAGCGACAAGAGTTACGACTGCGCTGGTTGCGCCAAAGAGGTGTCGGGTCCAAGCTATAGCTGGGGGAGTGGGGATGGGCATGGGTCGGGTCGGGTTTTTGGACTACCCGACCCGACCCGAGAAGAAAGGGTACTCCACCTGTAACCCGACCCGACGAAATTATAATTTCACCCGACTCGACCCGACTCGATTTAATTTTTTATTATTAAAACTCACAAATTTTTTAATTTAAAATATAAAAAAATACCTAAAATAATTCATTGGAAGCAATTTCATTGATAAGCGTAATCCACGCCCTAATATCACGCTTGATCCCGTATTTTGGACTAAAATAAAAAGGAGGAGAAAACGGGAGGACGTGAAAGGATTGGGCCTAGTAATCATGAAAGTTGATGGTCTCTTGTGATGCCATTGAAACATCTGCGGACCAGAAGTTGCTGGCACATGGGTAGTAATAGGGAAAGTAAAAAGTAAAAAATAAATAATAATTATGCATTAACTATTCGGGGGTAGGATTATTTAACCATAAACCCGACTCCAAATTTTAATATAAAACCCGACCTAAATCCGATTTTTTTTAGAAAATCTGACCCAATGGGGTCGGATCGGGCCAGAACCGTCGGGTTCGGGTTCCATGCCCATCCCTAGTGGGGAGTGCCGGTTTTACCTCCATAAAAGATGAGCTGAGGCGCCCTCGAAGATTCACCACCCAGCTCACCGCGACCACCCTCTTCTCCTTGTTCTTCCAACTTCGGAACATCAGAAAAGAGGAGTTCGTTGTAGATTTGCCTTGATTACAAGGTAAGAGATTCTTTTATAATTGTTCTTCTTGTAGATTTTACCTAGACTTGAATTGCGCCTTGCTTCCACGTGACACTGTTGGAAACTTGATTGAGACCCTCCATTTTGCCCACCTCATCCTTTGATCTCCTTGAATCCAACTGAATCTTTTGAGTGAGAGAGTTGTAGAGATCTAATAAAAATACATGATGCTTTATACGTTAGTTTTGAATGTAATAGGTTCTTCAATAAAAATGTCTTGAACTATCCTCAACAATTAATCACCCTTGCCACTGTACTGTCACGAACTTGGGCTTTTCCCCACACTTTGGGCTATTTTGGCTATGTTGGGCCACATTTGGTCTTGGAGGTTGATAGAATAGTGTAGATTATTCTAGAACACTCAAGACTTGCACATATGTAGAGTATTCTAGAAGGATTCTAGAGTTTTCCACGTTAGGTAGGAAATTATGGAGAATTCTAGAGAATCTTTCCCTATCGTAGGATCAAGTCAATCTCCGCCGTCCATTGAGGTGAGATGCTATAAATAAGTGTAGAATCCTCATTTGTAAATCATCCAAGAGTTGTAAGCTTTCAAGCATATCAACAAGCTTTCTTTCAAAGTTCTTTCCTTCTTCTTGTTTCCTTGCCAATCATTTCCCACACTAGCACGAGTTTGAGTGAGGCTGACTTACCTATCGAGAGGGGCGAAAAGGAGCCAAGGCCGCACGAGGCTTATTGAGAGATTAAGTCCGTGACAGTTGGTATCAGAGCCGGTTAAGGCATCAATATCGTGCACGTATCTTGTAGGAATGGTTGGGAACCCGAACGAGTCAACTGTTACTGGAACGTGGGAGAGAAGTTGCACCCACCAACCCGAAGAAGAAGAGGGACCAGAGCAAGGCCCGCGAAGGAAAATTAGAACCAATGGTGGCGGAGTTTGGCGAAAGGCTGGAGAGGGTCCAGCACGACTTCAAGAAGCTGAAGACCATGTCTTAGAGCAAGTTGACGCGCTCAAGGGGAGTGCTGAAGAGACTAATAACGAGGTGGAAGCTCGGTTTGTACGGCTAGAGGATATGATCCAAGCCTTAGGTGAAAGCATCGAAAGGATGCGGGAGGACGCGACGCTCTGCAAGAGGGATGCCGTTAGCGGGGGTACTAACATCACTATCTCTACCCTTGCCCCAAGCCGCAAGGGTTCAACGGGGCAAGGGACGCCAAGGAAGTCAAAAACTACCTATGGCGGATGGAGCAATACTTCGAGGGAATCGACCTTAACGACGAGGCCGCCAAGGTAAAGACTGTTGCCTTATATATTTAGATACTGCTATGTTATGGTGGCGTAGGAAACATGCCAACATAGAGCGAGGGGCTTGTCGGTTAGATACGTGGGATGAGTTCAAGAAAGAACTCAAGAAGCACTTCTATCCCGAGAATGTGGTATACGAGGCTCGCAAGAAATTGCGGGAGTTGAAGCAACGGGGTATTATGTGGGACTATGTAAAAGAATTCACAACTCTTATACTTCAAATCCCCAATATGTCCGAAGACGATCTCTTGTTCTATTTCATTGACGGACTACAAGGATGGGCCAAGCAAGAGATACACCGTCGGGACGTTAGAATGGTTGATGAGGCCATTGCCATTGCCATCGCCGAGTCAGTCGTCGATTTCCAACTCAACTCCCACACCAATGCGACGAAGAACAAGGATAAATATCCAGCCAAAGGTGGGGGAGAACGGCGGGAGAACACCAAGGCACCGAGATCGAGATCACCGAAGGCCACAAGCTAAAGAGGGAGATCGAGATTAACATTCGGGCCGAAGGGACTACGAAGAGAAGAAAAAGGCCTTCGTTCCTAAAAGAGGATGCTTTGTGTAAAGGGTCGCATCCGATGAGTAGTTGTCCCAAACTTGGTTCATTGTCCGCCATCGTCGATCGTCAAGACACAGAGTCTCAAGCAGAGATGGGGTCGCTCCAAGTTCTAAACGCCTTGAAGGCCAAGTTGTTGACACCACACCGAGTAATGGGATCATGTATGGAAGCGGTGATCAACGAGAAGCTGACAAGAGCTATGGTGATACGGGGGCTACCCACAATTTTGTGTCTAAAGACGAAGCCAACCGTTTGGGCCTAAAGTACACTGGGAGCATGATGGCTCAAGACGGTAAATACACAAGCGATACCACTCCATGGCGTGGCAGGGGTCGAGCTACGCTTAGGCACTTGGAAGGGCCAAGTGAACTTTTCAGTCGTTCCTATGGATGACTTCAAGGTTGTTTTGGGTTGGACTTCTTCGACAGGTAATCGATATCCCTATGCCTTCCTTTAGTTCAGTTTGCATCTTGGAGAATGGGTCTCCTTGCATGGTCCCCACGGTCGAGGCACCGAAAGAGAAGGTCGAGATGCCAACAAATCTCGGCCATATAACTTGGTAGAGGCATCAAGAAAGGGGCCATGACTTATTTGGCCATGCTAAAGATGATGACGAGATCGAGAAAACGGTGATATACCACCAATCATCCGTTAAGTCTTAGAGGAGAACAAGGACGTGATGCCACTGAGTTACCAAATAAACTTCCACCAAGGCGTGAGGTGGATCACAAGATCGAGTTGGAACCTGGTGCCAAGCCGCCTGCCTGGCACCATACCGAATGGCCCCACCCGAACTTGAGGAACTTCGAAGGCAACTCAAGGAGCTAATCGATACGGGAAAGATTCGACCTTCAAAGGCACCGTATGGCGCACCGATACTCTCCAGAAGAAGCATGATGGGTCGTTGCTCATGTGTGTCGACTACCGGGCACTTAACAAGGTAACAATTAAGAACGCTACCCGATTCCTTTGATACGATATTTGATAGACTTGGAAGAGCCAAGGTGTACACGAAGATGGACTTGCAAAAGTCTACTACCAAGTTCGAATTGCAGAAGGCGATGAGCCAAGACGCATCACCGATACGGATCGTATGAGTGATTGGTCATGCCCTTTGGTCTAACCAATGCACCGATGACGTTTGCAACGCTTATGAACAAGCTCTTCCACCGTACTTGGACCAGTTCATGGTGGTGTATTTGGACGATATCGTGGTATATAGTAACTCCATGGAGGAGCATATAGACCACTTGAGGATTGTGTTCAATACACTTTAAGAGAACGAGCTATACGTCAAGAAGGAAAAGTGCACGTTTGCCACTGAGGAAGTACACTTCCTTGGACATGTAATCGGCCCACGAGAAGTTATTAATGGACGGAAACAAAATCAAGGCCATAACCGACTGGGAGCCGCCAACCAAGGTAAGTGAGTGAGGTTATTCCTTGGTCTAGTAAATTATTATCACGGTTTATACAGGGTTATTCGGCACGAGCATCACCATTGACGGACCTACTCAAGAAGGGGAGACATGGGATGGTCCGAACAATGTCAGATCTTCCAACCGTACTTGGACCAGTTCATGGTGGTGTATTTGGACGATATCGTGGTATATAGTAACTCCATGGAGGAGCATATAGACCACTTGAGGATTGTGTTCAATACACTTTAAGAGAACGAGCTATACGTCAAGAAGGAAAAGTGCACGTTTGCCACTGGGAAGTACACT